GAGCAGGTGAGACACACATGTTAGTCACATGGTTGTTTACCAAAAGTATCACTGTATCACAGGTCCTCATGTATCTCGTATCTAGTGTTTCTTTTTAGGTTTGTTATTTTTCAAACTCTATATTTATTAAGTTTTGCAGCTTGTTTGCACAACAAGGGTGAATAATTATATAAACGTTTCTGAATGTAAATAGTGGACTTTGGTAGAATTAAACAATAAGTGTAGTGCAGGTCTAAGATGATTTTTAGTGCTGCTATCATCTAGTTTTCTGGTTCTGTCTTGGTTACGTCCTCAGTCGTCCTGATTTTGAACTGTTGTAGTCCTGTTTTAGTTCCAGTTCTGGGTCTGGTTGAATTGGGGTTTAGTCCTCGTGTCTTGATACAGCCCGACTTTGTTCTGCCTTGCTGCTTAATTAAAAAACTAGTTTAAGGTGTCCTGCAGATGTGATATATTTATTTTTCCTATATGAAGTTATTCTTTTTTAACAAAACTCAGAACACAGCCTATTAATCTTTCAGTCATTTCTGACCCCCCATGATGAACTGAAACTCAGTTCATCGTGTGCCGTATGATTAATACCTTTTCACTGCAGCGCTGTTTGGACTGTGCTTGTGACTCGCCTCCGAACAATCCAGTCAAATGTGCAGCAAAAAGCCCGCCACTGCCCACCATCCACTTCCTGTTCGCACAGTTTAAACTAGCTGACAAACATCACATCAGTAGATTAAATATATAATTAGAAATGATTTAGTCTTCAGTAGTGTTAACAACGCCTTTTTCTATTTCCCCCTTTGATGCTAAATTAATCCTAAAATCAATTCTAAACATTGAAACTTTTAAAGGAAAAAAGAAAACAAGAAGTACAGATTCACATCATGATTTTATTTACACAGTAAAATTAACAGCGGGGCATTTCTATAAGCAGTGATGAGGCGACAGAACTTGTAGGTAATGGTGTGAAAAACAAACAAGCATGTAATTCCCAATTCTACCACAGGAGGGCGACAAAAACACGTGTCATGCAAAGTAATGTGTAATGTTTCGTCATATGTGACCCTCAAGTATTTCCAGTGAGCAGCTGATTATTTACAGATTCTAGATGTAAAGCCACGGTGAAACGAAACCTTTATTAATGAAACAACTATGTTAAACTCTATATTGCTGGGATAAATACAGTGTGATTATACTACTGCTAGTCTGAGTTTTAAGGCTATGTTGGGCTTTGCAGCAAGATTTCACAGTGGTTATCCTCCTCTTGCATCCGTCTCAAACGCAGTACTTCCAGAAGCAGGCTGCAGGCGAAAAGACAGCATTTTGTACAATGAGCTCATATTAAGTATATTTATAGTGTAATGAATGTAAATGTTAGAGCTTACGTTCTCCGCGTTTCCTTGTTATGGATTTGCCTTCTACCATATTAGCTGTAATCTTCCTCTCCAGCTCCAGCTCCTCCCTCAGCTCTCTCAGCTGGAAATACAGATCAAAGTGATTCTAACACACCGAGAGAGCTTTTCAAATGTTTTTGTGAATTACTGTAACAACCTTTGAGAATGTGAAACAAGAAACGAGTGCTCCATTTATACACGAGCAGCTTGTTCACATTATAATATCATCGAAATCACATTTTATTAGTGCCAGTTAAAATCAGCCTTACCTCCTCGATCTCAGCTAATTTATTAGCCAGCTCGACACCTGCAGAAAGGAGACCCAGTTAACCAAAGCAGAAATGTACCTGTGCATGTTATCGCAGGCATTTGTTTGTAGGTCTCACCCAGAGGATTATCCTTTTCCACTGGGACCAAGCTTTTGTGCAGTAATAGAGCCAGAATCTTGCTCTGGGAATCTGTGTCTTCTTTCGGACTAAAAGCAGGATTTCCTGGATGTACCAAAGCAAACACACAGTGAGTTATATGCTTATTATCTCTCAATATGTTGAAATGTGATAAAACTGTACTGATAGACAAAGCATTTAATCAGCAGTTGCATGCATTTGGCATTCTAATTCAAATAAAATGTTTTGCACACTCACCTGGATTGAATATGCTCCTCCCGTCTACATTGAGCAGTAGAAACAAACTCAGGAGTCCTAAACAGTAGCTCACAGCTGTAACCCTGTCCATGGCATTCAACGTAATGTTTCAAGCGAATTTCGCACTGTGAGCACTCCTTCGAGCAAGGCTAGATGTCCACTCGCTTAAAACCATCCCGTTAATATATTTATACTTCTCCGAGCTGGGAGGAGGGGCCTGTCGGCCCCTTGATTACCAAATTCACCTCTCGTCACTGTGGGCTTCGTCACTGCGGACTTCGTCACCTTCTCACCCGTGAATCGTCTGAATGAAATACAGCGATGTGACGTGGACGCGCGGCCAAGAAACCCTACATCACTCTGACACGGGTAAATCAAAAAGAGAGGATGCTATCAATCAACCTGTTGGTTGTGAACCAGTATCAGATGTTCTTGGCACTCGCGAGTCTTTTTCTTTTACTTTAATTGCTTCCTAAAATAGGTACGAAGGAGTGGGTTGGGTTAGGGAAAGAGTGGCAAGTAAATTGATTCGGTCCTTGAGTGCACCATAACCAGAGACGGGCTCTTCAATCTTGGCTTCAAGACTGATTTGGAGGTGAAGGAGCATCCATCACTGAGGCAACGCCAAACATCCCACACCTCCCATTTTACCGTATCCTATTCTATGAATCAAGGAAATCACATTTCATACGTCAGCCAGAGGAGCGCACACAGCGTTTGTGCAGGCGAAGGGAAATGAGCTGCTTGAACCTGCTAAATTTGGCTGTTATTATAAGAGTCCTTTGAGATGCACAGGGGGTTTTCACAGGCTCGCTCCTTTAGCCGTCATCTTCTAAATACACAAATAAAGAGACGACAAACACGAAAGCTGAAGAATCAGGAAAGACTGTGCTGAGGGGATCTGCAGTCTGCAGGAGGCAGTCACTGTTCACACCAACTAAATATCATTTGGATGCACTTAAAGACCTTATGATGCATTCGTAACTCTGCACAATCCAAGCAGTCGAAGCAGTCAGAGCCCCACAGCCTCCAGCTTCTGTTCTGTTTCATCTTTAACGGCAGAGGTCAGGCCTTTGTTGACCTCATTGTATTTCACTGAAAAACTAAACAGTAAAACTGCTTTACTTAAGCATCACTTAAGGGAGCCGTCTGTGCACGACCACAAACAATCCCATTGATTTATCTGCAGATGGACCCCCACCATCGACTTGTTTTAGGGATGTTATGTCAATTAGAAGCGGTTGTGGTAGAGCTGAACACCAGAGGGAGCAATTAGATTATCATAATCAACAGAGCAGCTGCAGTGAGCGTGTATTTTATAGAAGGCGTGACGCGTGTAAATGCGGATCCATTCACTCAGTCTGCCTTCACGGTTCCCACACATGAATCGTTGCTCGCGTGGACCGTCGTGTTGACCCACGGTTGCTTCGTGGTGAAGACTTGCCGAAGCTGCACATGCAGCACACGTCTACAGCAGCTGAACCTCGAGAAGAGGGCTGCGTCAATTCAAAGCCTCTCGTAAGTCAGCCGCAAGTAGTTAGAAACCAACCGGAAGTGTGCTCACTCACTTTTCAGCTTAAAGCAAACGTTAATACAGCAGTGCATTCTTGTGAATTTATAAACGGAGCAGTTTTATCATATGCTGCTGACTTGTAATGATCACTATGAAAATATACACTTAAAACTGCAGCACTTTCGTGTACTAATCATGCCAAGTTTAGAAAATCCACAGTTATTACTAGCTTATTTTGGTGATTTCAGTTATTTATAATGTAAGGGTTTAAATTCAAACAGTCTCAGTTTCCGAAACTTAAGTGTATTCTTAGATATTTTTTTACCTCAATGGAGAGCTTCGTTAAACGTTTCTTTTAGTTCAATAATATATTCAATAAATGTTTGGGAAGCTGGCTGATAAAGGTACATTTCAAAAAACCTAAAGTATAAAGCTGAATGTAAATGTTGGCTTTTGCACAGTCAAAGGTTAAAGTTATACTTGCTGGGCTAAGTTCGTAAGCATGTAGGTCTGGTGTAGTCAGTAGTATGGTTCAGTTGTATTTCTATATTTATTGTGTCACGAATATATAAATATTTTTAATTAATATTTATAAATAAATAAGGGAACTCTTGAACAATCTTCACTTTGATTTTCTTTTCTTTTTATTCGAGTGTGTGTGTGAGTCGCCTTGAGGCGACTGTTGTTGTGATTTGGCGCTATATAAATAAAATTGAATTGAACTAAATTGAATTGATTTATTTTTCCTGCACAAGTCTTGCGAAAGCTGGTATTTTATTCTGAAAAATCTAGACAGGAAATATCCTCTTACTCCGTTGGCCGGGTGTAGGAGGGAGGGACGCTAGCAATCTGACAGGCAGCTAGCTACAGCAGAGTAACAGCCTGGCAATTACAGCGGCGACGTATCAGGAGAGGGTGGTTACCGAAACTAATCAAAGGGTCGTCCAGCACCTGAACCATCAATCGGGTTTATGAGTAAAGCGATCAATCAGGCTGCCGTTAACCTTCGGAAGAAACGCTGAAGTGTAATTCGCCGTCAACGGGTTTTTTCTTTTCTTTTTCTTGTTTTTACTTATTATCCGTGACAACATGGCTGAATGTAACGTTAGCATCGACCAGAATAAACTACCTGGAGTGAAAGAGGGTAATGTCCACATAACATGTTTCCTGGAAAAATATAAAGCAAGCTAGCTCTTAAACAGCCAGCCTGTTATGCTAGGATAACTCTAGCGAGGCTAATGTTAACCGAGTAAACGCAGGTGTTTATTTGTTTGTCTCATGCACTACGGCTAATGTGGCTCTTAGCACACGCTGCTAGTGGATGCTAGCACACTTACTGGTCTTTTCAGGCTGGAGTTAGATGGTCAGTCTGGGTGCAGGTGTCATCCAGACAGGTTTACAGCGGGAAACACCGTTTTATGTATTGTGTACATGTTGACACAGTGAGATCCTCCTCATATTAAACACAGTGCTGGGCTGGTGAAATGTGCTGTGTTTACATGACTTGTAACTTTGTCACCTGAGTTGATTTCCTGTTTTAAGGTATGTGGTCCAGCCAGAGTTTTGAACACGAGTTTTGTTTGTTGTTTTGCCCCCGGTCTCATATTCTCTGGTGCCATTTCCTCCTGCTTCTTATGACTGTTCAGAATATGACTCCCACGAGCTCTTTGCCACACAGACACCCAGAACTAGGTCTGCTATTGTTTGTGGATTTGAAAAGCAGAATGGAAACGGGGGTGTTTATATGGAAAAGCATTATGGATGGGATGCTTTGCTGGTGGGAAGGAGCTGTTAGTGTGAAGCAGCTGCTGGGCAGGATGTTTGTTATTCTGGTCAGAGAGAGAAGAATCCTGCACTGCTTGTCTAGTCTGCATTGGGAAGGGATGGACTCTACAAAACTGCTGGAAAAGTTAGAAAACAGTAAAAACAACGAGGTGCAGAAATGAACTTGAAATATTTACTTATATTTAGATGTTCTTGTGGTTTATTAAACGCAGAAGTGTCCATCTATTTGCATAGTGCACACATGTTAGACCTATTTTCTGTTTCAGGTCCTGAAATGAATGATGGTGTGAAAAGCTAAACCGTGAGTGCAGCTGTAACCCGTCTTTCACTTGAATTCCTCTGAAGTCTGTTTAAAAGCAACTGTTAAAGTACTGTTGACGCATAAAGCAGCAGCAGCCACGATACAATCTCTTTGCTAAGAAGATTAAGCATATGGTTGAGAAAATGCTCGGTGGAGGTGTCATCCTCCTTCAAAGCATCTGTCATCAGCCATCGTGCACAACAAGGCAGTCTGGAGGATTCATCAAGTGTGTTTGCCTAATGGTGGTCGATTCCCTCCCAGCGATCTCTACAGTCACAGGCAGTTACTGGTTATTAATATTTCATGTGGTTGATCTTTGGACTGTGAGCTTGGCAGGGGAGACCGTGTGTGGGTGAGGAAGAGAGCTCCACAAACTGATCGACACCGGTGAATATGTATGATGCCAGATTGCTGTGTTCAAGCGATCTGGTGGCAGCTCCACACTGCTGAAGGCTTCGATGAAGCCATGACAGAATACTCTGTTTATATGATGCTATGGTACTGTTGCTAAGTAGGGGTAGTTGAGCTACGCTGACAGATCTTTTAAGTCCACATTCATGTTTAGCTGAGGTTGTGAGAAAGGCCTAAAACCGCCTCCTTAGTTCTTAACAGGAAACTGTCTGCTGTTAAAGATCTGGAGCGAACGTGAAGAGGCGCGAGCTGTGTGCGTCGTTGAGAAGGATCAGGTGGATGTGTCGGGATGACGTTTGGTGCTGGGGGGGTTTCTGAGGAAGAAATCCCCACCTACTCCGTCAGCCTGTTGTTTTCAGGATGAATCTTTTGGCAGCACCAGTGATACCGAAACCACGCCTGGAAAGTTTGCTCTCGATTTGTTGTGTAGATATGGAAAATGAGCAGTTCATATTTTTTTCTTTAAGAAAACATTTTTGAGCTGAGACTGTGGCTGGTGGACTTTGTCTTTGTCAAGGCCTGAAAATGACAGGAAAAAAGTCCTGCGTCATAAAAACTCGGGTTAGATTCAGGTTAATCTTACTTTACTTACTGTAGCTTATTCGGCTATACACAAACACGTGTCGTTTTACTGTCTTCTGTTTTCTGCTAGATGAGCAACTACATGTTGCCTTTTGAATTGCACTTCAGGGCAGCAACAAAACGTTTTCTCACTTCTCACCTTAAAATAACTTGTCAAGATAAAAAACCCTGAGCGCTTTTTTAGTCTGAGTGCAGAGAGCAGAGAGCTTCCTCATTCACTTTCAGTTCATCTCAGATCCAAAAACAAATTCCAGAAGATCAGACAGGATCTAAAATCACTTTGTGTAACTAAGAATGATGTGCTCACAGTGCAGCGAAGCACTCTGCTCAGATTATCAGATTAAAAACAAAACACAGTTTTAGAAGTA